CTCACTCACACACACACACACACACACACACACACACACACACACACCAGTCTGACTTCAAACTAAAACACAAACAGATTCTAAACAAGGTCTCACATCTAATATGCATTGTCTGACCTAAAATGTCACCTCTTCTTTACACTGATAAAACCTTAGTTCTTTCGGGATTGTGACTTGAAAGGAATTTGCAGATTTACGTATACATATTAATCAATTAAAACCTTCTAACTGATTAAAGATTTAACTACATCTTAAGTTTGCTTAGTACATCCTAATCAATGGTATGAACCTTTGATCTTTTACCTACAAATTCTGTGACTGATACTACATCTCTCACTAACACCTGAAGGAGGACTGAGGCTCTGAAAGCTTGTGTTTTCAAATAAACCTGTTGGACTATAACCTGGTGTCTTGCGTTTTCTGATCTCGTGATTTTGTATGCCTCTATAAACGCATCCCTCAGTCTCCTAAATTCCAGTGAAAAAAGTCCCAGCCTATTCAACCTCTAAAGTTTTCGAGAAGCTTCACCAGAGACGCACTGATGATGTTACCTGGCAGGGTGATGAAACCCATCAGCTCGGCGAGCATGTGTACAACCTAATTCAACCTCTCCTTATAACTGAAACCTTCCAGTATAGGTAGCATCCCTGTAAATCTTTTCTGACCCCTTCCAGTTTAATCCTTTCTATAGTAGGATGACCAGAACTGCACGCAATACTCCAAATGTGGCCTCACCAACGTCTTGTCCAGCTGCAACAAGACATCCCAACTCCTATACTCAATGCTTTGACCGATGAAAGCAAGTACGCTGAAACCCTTTTAAAATCTTAGAAAGTTGCCAGAATAATTTCCTCCTCATTAGAGATAACATTGTTTTAGTGAGGTCAAAGGGGCTAGTCAGTAAATAATTCTGTGAGAATGTGCAATTTAAGAGAATTGATGTGCTGTCCTCATTCAATTTTAATTCCATTGGCTTTTTAATAGGTCACAAGTTACAGAGAATTTACAGCACAGAAACAGACAAATTATATTATTCTCTGCTGGGATATGGGTGTTAATCATTGATCTTAAACTGAGTGGCTTGCTTGGCTGTTTCAGAGTCAACCACATTTAGACTCATAGAGATGTACAGCACAGAAACAGACCCTTTGGTCCAACTTGACAATGCTGACCAGATATCCTAAATTAATCTCGTCCCATTTGCCAGCAGTTTAAAGCCACATGTGGGCTAGACTGGGTAAGAACAGCAGATTTCTGACCCTAAGGGACATTAGTGATTCAGATGGGTTTTCACAATATTCCATGACAGCTGTCACTGTCACAACTCTAGAGGTTTATTTTATGTTACAGGTTTAGTCACTGAATTTAAATTTGACCAGCTGAAATGGTGGGATTTGAACATGTGATCCTAGAGCATGACCCTGGGATTATTAGAGCAGCAATATTCCTATTCTGCCACCATCTCCTGCTAACCTGACCAGCTTTTATACTCCACAACAGGCTCTTCCCACCCGATTTCATCTCGCCCAATTAGAATATTCCTTTATTCCTTTCTCCTTTCTGCGTCCATAAAGTTTTTCCTTAAGTACTTGTTGGTTACTTGCCTCAGCCTTTCTCTATAGTAGTGAGTTCCACACTACAACCACTGTCTGCCTAAAGAGGCTTATGCTGAACTCTTTCAGATTTATTAGTTATTGTTGTTTTGAATATATTAAAGAGTGTCCATCTGTTTGTGTTATAAGCATACTAAATCTTGCCTTGTGCTGTCACATCTTTGTCATACTTTTCGTCAATGCTTTCTCCTTCGAGATTCCCTTTTGTCCAAATTTTGAACAGAAGCTTTCTGCTGTACTTACACTCCTTGGCTGCAGTTCCTCAATCCAAAGATGTGCAGGTTAGGTGGATAAGCCATGGGAAACGCAAGGTTACGGGGATAGGGTAGGGGGTGTTGGGTGTGGGGGATGCTCCTTGGAGGGTTGGTGTGGACCTGATGGACCGAATGGCCTGCTTCCACACTGTAGGGATTCTATAATAGAACGATATTCCCTTGCTCCCATATAAATGACAGAATGTGAAGAAAGAGGGCTGGGAAGTGGGGAAAACAAGAAGACAATATAAAGCTCATCACCTTCCTAACTCCCTCTGACTCTCCATCAAAGGCGGAGATAGCAAGGGTTGTGAATAACTTTGCCACCTAAGGACAATAGTGGCCATTCAGGGCCTCATACTACGTTTGACATCTGACGAGAGACAAGTGGGCCCACACAATATGGAGAAAGTGCCAGGGGACATTCTCCGGTCTGGTGGAGGGGGAACGGGGGAGGATTCCCTCCTTCTTGTGGGCGTCAGAGAGATGATCAGTGGCAAAGTGGGTGATCTGGATGAAGATATCGCCCTCACTGCCCCCATTGCCAGGATACCCCTGGTAATGCTGGGCCAAGGATCAGAATTCTGGGGTTCCCGCAACAATCTTTGAGTCTACTCCATCGTTTCCAGTGATGCTACTGATTCCTTGAAGTTTCCAGGTCTAGGAGATGGTGTATCAAGCCAGGACCCCGACCATCCCCAGTTAATAACCTGATTGAGATTGAATCCGAACAGGAATCTAAGGGATGGCTGGGTTTGGGGGAATGCAGGCAGGAAGGGGTTAACCATTGGGTCGTCAGCTAGTGGATGTGCCGAGCACTGTGATACCGACAGTGGGAGAAATCTCATTGGAGATTTAGACTGTGTATGTAGTGTTACAACCATAGAGCAAATGTGGCCTTTTGCATAAAGTAGTTCCCTTGTAATTTGAAGTATTTCAGTTTTAGAATAGCCTGTACAATGGGTTTTGTTTTAAACAACGTTAGTTTGTTACACAACTACCATAGAAGCCTAGAATTACAGAATAGAATCATAGAATGCCTACAGTGCAGAAAGCAGGCTATTCAACCCATTGGGTCTGCACCCACCCAGTCCCACAGATCCTACACCATCCCCATAACCCCGCATTTATCATAGCTAATCCACCTAACCTGCACGGCTTTGGACTGTGGGAGGAAACCGGAGCACGCGGAGGAAACCCACGCAGACACGGGGAGAATGTGCAAACGCCACACAGACGGTGGCCCGAGGGTGGAATCAAACCTGGGCCCCTGGCACTGTGAGGCAGCAGTGCTAACCACGGAATGTTATTGAATTAAAGAGCAATGAGGTCATTAACTAAAACACAAATACAAATATTTGAAATAAGGTAAAGTTATGTACGAAGGTGAAATTGACATCAGTCTGCAGGCCTGTTTACTTAAAGAATTTTTTCTCAAAATGCAAGGGTTGAAAACTTGAAGTCAGATTTGGCAACTGTGATGGTTTCTGTAGTTAAATAGTTAGTGGTTGGTTGCACAGCTAGACTGAGCAGAACACGTCCTGGGAGTGAGGAAAGGCTGCTCTATTTGATTTTAATGGTCCTGCAGGGTGTGCTGTGTGTCAATGGCTCAGTAGAGCAGGACTAGAACCTCTTTCTGCGCAAGCTGTTCGAGGGGATTCCGAGGGACAGGATTTACCTACATTTGGAAAGGCAAGGACTAATTAGGGATAGTCAGCGTGGCTTTGTGCAAGGGAAATCGTGTCTCAATAACATGATTGGGTTTGTTGAAGAGGTGACAAAGAGATTGGTGAAGGCAATCTAAATGGACTCAGCAAAGCATTCAATAAGGTTCCAAATGGTAAACTAGTTAATAAGGTTAGATCACATGGGATCCAGGGAGAGCTAGCCAATTGGTTACAAAGTAGGCTTGAAGGTAAGAGACAGAGGGTAGTGGTAGAGGTTCATTTTTTGGACCAGTCATGTGCCACAAGGATCGGTGCTGGGTCCACTGCTTTTCATCATTTATATAACTATTTGGCTGTGAATATAGGAGGTATGGTTTGTAAGTTTTCAGATGACACCAAATGAGGTGGTGTAGTGGACAGCGAAGATTATCTCAGAGTACAACAGGACATCGATCAGATAGGTCAATGGGCCAAGGAGTGGAAGATGGAGTTAAACTTAAATAAATGTGAGGTGTTGCATTTTGATAAGGCAAACTAGGGCAGGACTTATACAGTTAATGGTGGAGCTCTAGGGAGTGTTAACGAATAAAGAGACCTAGGGATGCATAGTTCCTTGAAAGTGGAGTCACAGGTAGACAGGATGATGAAGACGGCATTTGGCACACTTGCCTTTTTTGCTTGGAACATTTGAGTATAGGAGTTGGTGTGCCATGTTGTGGCTGTACAGGGCGTTAGTTAGGCCACTTCTGGAATGCTGCATACAATTCTGGTTGCCCTTCTCTAGGAAGGATGTTCTTAAACTTGAGAGGGTGCAGAAAAGATTTACAAGGATGTTGCCAGGCTTGGAGGGTTTGAGCTATAGGGAGAGGCTGAATAGGCTGGGGCTATTTTCCCTGGAGCGTTGGAGGCTGAGGGGTGACCTTAAAGAGGTTTGTAAAATCATGAGGGGCATGGATAGGGTGAATAGACAAGGTCTTTTCCACAGGGTAGGGGAGTCCAAAACTAGAGGACATAGGTTTAGCGTGAGACAGGAAAGACTTACAAGGGACCTAAGGGGTAACTTTTTCATGCAGAGGGTGTATGGAATGAGCTGCCAGAGGAAGTGGTGGAGGCTGGTACAATTACAACATTTAAAAGGCATCTGGATGGGTATATGAATAGAAAGGGTTTAGAGAGAAATGGGCCAAATGCTGGCAAATGGCACTAGGCCAAAATGGGATATCTGGTCAGCATGGACGAGTTGGGCTGATGGGTCTGCTTCCGTGATGTATGACTCTATGACACGACGACTCTTCAGAAGCAGTAGTTGTGTTATTGTTTGAAGGTATTCACTCATGGTGTTCATATGATTCTTCACAAATTGGCTATTTTGCAGACAGTCATCACAAGCAAACAAAACAACTGCAACTGTTCATTCTGATTTAATTTTCCATAAAACAAAGTCAATGGTGCTGGAATTCCTTGTAATGCTTCTCCTGTCTTCTGTTCATCATGTCAGAAGCTTTTGAGTCTTTGTGCATTTTAAGGTTGAATTGATAACCCTGTGGTCTCTTCTACATTGGGGAAATGCAGCGTAGACTGGGTGACTACTTCACAGAGCATTTATATTCTCTCTGCCAAAAAATACCCTGAGCTTTCCCCATTGCCTGCCACTTCAACACACTACAATGTTCCCTGGCTAACATCTCTGTTTCAGGCTTGATGCAGTGCTCCAGCAAACCTCAGTACAAGCTGGAAGAACAACACCTCATTTTCTGCTTGGGAACTCTGCAGCCTTATGCACTCAATATTGAGTTCAGTGATTTTAAGTCTTGAGGCAGCTTCTCCCATGTCCTTATACCAACTCCCATATGCCAGGCCTTGTTATCACATGATAAAAACCGAAAGAACTGCGGACGCTGTAAATCAGAAAAAAAATTCAGAAGTTGCTGGAAAAGCTCAGAACTGAGGAAGGGTCACCAAACCCGAAACGTTAATTCTGATTTCTCTTCACAGATGTTGCCAGACCTGCTGAGCTTTTCCAGCAATCTCTATTTTTGTTTCTTGTTGTTACATGGTCTGCTATTACAACAACCCATTGTTAGCCACTAATAGTCCCCATCAGCATATATTCATTCCCCTAGGCTGACTGTTATCCACTCCTTTGTCTGTCAAACTGTCCTTCTGTCTCTTTGGGCTCTATCATTTATTCCTTACCCCTCCCCCCAGTCCTATCTTCTGCCTAAAAAACAATGTTTTCCTAGCTACCATCAGTTCTTAGGAAGGGTCTCTTGACCTGAAATGTTAACTCTGATTTCTGTCCACAGATGCTGCCAGACCTGCTGAGCCTTTCCAGCAATTTCTGTTACTGTTTCTGACAATCTTGGATTTCTTGAATTATTCAATTAGCTTTTACCATTGCCTCTTAACATAACACGCTCTGATTATCTGCTTTTTCTACAGTTGTAAATCCACAAGTCATGTGGCTTCAAGTGGCAATTTCCTTGTGCCCATTGTGAAGACAAATAAGCTTTAGTTTACAAAATGTGTAACATTATAACAATACACTCATGACAATAGAATTAAATGAAGTGATGGAGTGGAGGGTGCTTATATTTTGTTATAATGATCTGTGATAATTTCCTACTAGTATGAACTATTTTGTTTCCTAACATTAAGAATCATCTCAGAATCATCACTGTGAGGAGGCACAGTGGCTCACAGCACCAGGGACCCAGGTTCGCTTCCAGCCTCGGGCAACCATCTGTGTGGGGTTTGCACATTCTCCCTGTGTCTGCATGGGTTACCTCTGGGTGCTCTGGTTTCCTCCCACAGTCCAAAGATGTGTAGGATAGGTGGATTGGCCATGCTAAATTGCCCATGTGCTAGTGGAATTAGCCATGGGAAATATAGGGTTACATGGTAGGGGTCTGGCTGGGATGATCTTCAGAGGGTCAGTGTAGACTCAATGGGCCAAATGTCCTGTTTCCACACTGTAGGGATTCTATGACATGATCAATGATCCCAAATTGTCAATCCTATTTCAGCCTGAATCAATAGAGAGAGCTGAACCCCTGGAGCCACCCCTTCCAGTTCATTGTTTTTGGGCTATTCTTCCAGCAATAATTCAGTCCACCCAATAGGTTGCTGTGATCTTGCAAAGCATTTTAAGATTCTGTATCTGGTCTTTCATATGAAGTTACTTTAATCTGGATCCAAGAGGTGAAGGACAGCAAGCCATTCGCTTGAATGTTCTGTAACATACGGTTGTAGAATGTGAAAATGTTAAACAGATGAATTATTTGGTCACATTGTTCTCTGTCGAATTGTCCTGATAAACATACGTTGTCCTGAAAGATTTAACATCACAGTCAAAATTGTTAAGATGACCCATTGTTTAGATGAAGTGCTTCATTAATTTTTTTTAAGCTTGCTCCAGGATTGCTCTTCATAATGAAGGTGGTTAGTGACCACAAGGCCCTACGGAGCTCTGTCACTTCACTCCCCTCATCATTACCTTTGGATAGCTCAGTTCCTGACTTCTCAGTCTTCCTTTTGATTTTTGGAAATAATCCTCCGAAGGTTGGTAGTTGGACAGTTTCTGCTAAAAGAGAATAAAACAGACCTTTGACAGGTTTAATGTTACAGGTCAGGTCATAGGGCCGAAACTCTGGATATTTGCTTCAAGCGGACTGTAGTGTGTTATGCAATTGTCAAAACAAGCTAAGGTCAGATCATATCACCTGAGGAGGCAATGATATTAGCCATGACTTAGTAGGAGTATTTATGTCTGAAGTGTAGGTTCAACTCCAGTGTAGAATCTGTGCCCATAATCCAGACTGACATAGCAGTGCAGCATTGAGGCAGTGCTGTGAGGTTGGAGGTAATGTCTTTCGGACGGAATGTTAATCAGAGGGCCATTCTGCCTTCTCAGACATAACACACACCATGGTACTGGTTTGGAAAACAGGGGAGTTCTCCCCAGCATCCTACCTAGCAATTATACTGCAGCCACTACCTAATACGGATTACCTAATAATAGACTCATAGAATCCCTACAGTGTGGAAGCAGGCCCTTGAGCCCATCAAGTCCACGCTGAAGAGCATCTCACCCAGACCCACACCCCTACTCTATCCCTGTAACCCTACATTTCCCATGGGCAATCCACCTAGCCAGACTCAGGTCATTGTTCACAGTGACTTTCTGAAAATCTCATTGGCCTCTGAAACGTTAACTCTGTTTCTCCCTCTACAGATGCTGCTAAACTTGTGAAGTATTTCTAACATTTTCTGTTTGAAGTCTCTCTCCAAACTATGTGGCCATCTTGCATATGAAAAAAAAGCATTGACTGACCACAGGCAATTTCTGAGTTATGTTGGTATTTCACAAGCTTTGTTGCGGTCTTATCTTAATCATCTCTTTTTTAGTCTACAGACATTAACCTTCTCCAATCCTTCCTCCTGGTTTATCTCCATCCTCTGGGGAGTGATCTTGTGGCTCCTTCCTGCACTTCGAATATAATTTATATGCTTGGTTTGATGTGGTGAGAGATGGCAAGTGTGGTCTGACCAATGCATTGAAAGGCTCCACAGAGAATCTTTTCCTGCTTCAGTTTTGATTTATAAAGAAGAAGGGGCGACATTTTGTATTGCCTATTCTGCTTTCATGGTGGGTGAAAGTTTGACCAGTTTAAAATTGGTTTCAGCATTCTGTTCATTTTAATACCTCCCTTTACATAAAAGGTTTGAGTTGCTATGGGGCTTGTGTCCCGGGTTCTATTCTCCACTTTTGGGAGACCGTTATCCTTGTCTGTTCTGCTAGTTTGTGGTTAGTAATGGCTTCCCCTCAGCTATGAGTCATCGTTGTCTGATGCCGGTACATCACTGCTATCTCTTTTATTTGCATTGTCCTACAAAATACTGTTCTTTGTAAGTACAGCTCTCACTATAACAGAGTATTCCACCCTTTCTCATAGCCTCATGCTCAAGATGACCGGTGTCATTGTTAAATCATGATACATATCACCAGTTCACTATCATATCCATTCTTGTTATAATACACCGAGTCTGGCTTCCACCTGCTACATGAACTTCATTCGATGCAAGCATGAGAAATAGGAGCTGAAATAAACCATTCAGCCTCTCAGTCTCCTCCTCCATTCAATGAGATCAGAGCTGATTTGTTTCAGTTCTGAATTCCACATTCCCATTACTCCTGATCGCTTTTGACTCCCCCTGCTTAACAAAAAGGGTAGTGCCTTAGGTCGAACCATCTTCAGCTGCTTCATCAATGACCTTCCCTCCATCATAAGGTCAGAAGTGGGGATGTTCGATGATTGCACAATGTTCAGCACCATTCATGACTCCTTGGATACTGAAGCAGTCCATGTTCAAGTGCAACAAGATCTGGACAATATCCAGGCTTGGGCTGACAAGTGGCAAGTAACATTTGTGCCCCACAAAATGACCATCTCCAATAAGAGACAATCTAATCACTAGCCCTTGACATTCAATGGTGTTATCATCACTGAATCCCCTGGTATCATCCTTGAGGTTTAAATTAACCAGAAACTCAACTGGACTAACCACATAAACATACTGGCTACAAAAGCAGGTCAAAGGCTGGCTCCCAAAATCCTGCCCACCATTTACAAGGCACAAGTCAGGAATGTAATGGAATATTCCCCACTTGCCTGGATGTGTGCATCTCTAACAACACTCAAGAAGCTTGATACCATCCAGGACAAAGCAGCCCACTTGATTGGCACCACATCCACAAACATCCACTCCCTCTACCATGACACTTAGTAGAAAAAGTGTGTCTAACACACTGTTCTAGAAGAAGAATCTAACAAGGCACACTACAGAAATTCACCAAAGATCCTTAGCCACCACCTTCCAAATTTACAACCACTTCCATCCAGAAGGACAAGGGCAGCAGATACATGGGAACACCACCACATCCAAGTTCCCTTCCAAGTCACTCACCATTCTGACTTGGAATTATATCGCTGTTCCTTCACTATTGTTGGATCAAAATCCTGGAATTCCCTCCCTAAGGGCATTATGGGTCAACCTGCAACATGTGAACTACAGCGGTCCAAGAAGGCAGCTCACCACCACATTTCAAGAGTAACTAGGGACAGGCAATAAACGCTGGTCTGTCCAGCAACACCCATGTCCCATGAATGAATCAGAAAAGGATGCTCACCATCTCCCCTTTACTCACAGAGACAGGAACCCAAATAAATTAGTTAAACATGATTTCCCTTTGACAAAACCATGCTGACAGATCCCGATTTCCTTGAAGTTTTTCTAAGTGCGCAGCCATTATCTCTTTAATAGCTGATTCTAACACCATTCCCACAACAAACATCAAGCTAACTGGCCTATAGTTTGCTGTTTACTGCCTCCCCCCAGTATTGAAGATGAGGACATTAAGCAGAGGAATGCACCACCTTCAGCACAATAGAGTGACACAGCATGGGACACAACAAGCCAGACAGGACTTAAATTGATACCCGGGTTCCAGTGGATCTCAGCTGGGCAAGGTTTTGTTTTATTCACTCACAAGAAGCGGGTCATAGAACATAGAACATAACAGCGCAGTACAGGCCCTTCGGCCCTCGTTGTTGCGCTGACCTGTGAAACCAATCTGAAGCCCATCTAACCTAAACTATTCCATTATCATCCATATGTTTATCCAATGACCATTTAAATGCCCTTAAAGTTGGCGAGTCTACTACTTTTGCAGGCAGGGCATTCCACACCCTTACTACTCTCTGAGTAAAGAACCTACCTCTGACATCTGTCCTATATCTATCACCCCTCAATTTAAAGCTATGTCCCCTCGTGCTAGCCATCACCATCCGAGGAAAAAGGTTCCCACTGTCCACCCTATCTAATCCTCTGATCATCTTGTATGTCTCTATCAAGTCACCTCTTAACCTTCTTCTCTCTAACGAAAACAGCCTCAAGACCCTCAGCCTTTCCTCATAAGACCTTCCCTCCATACCAGGCAACATCCTGGTAAATCTCCTCTGCACCCTTTCCAATGCTTCCACATCCTTCCTATAATGCGGTGACCAGAACTGTACGCAATACTCCAAGTGTGGCCACACCAGAGTTTTGTACAGCTGCAACATGACCTCATGGCTCCGAAACTCAATCCCTCTACCAATAAAACCTAACATACTGTACACCTTCTTAACAACGCCATCAACCTGGGTGGCAACTTTCAGTGATCTATGCACGTGGACACCGAGATCTCTCTGCTCAGCATTTATTACTAATCCCTAATTGCCCTGGAGAAGATGCTGATGAGCCACCTTCTTGAATTGCTGCTGTTCCATGTGCTGTAATTGACCATAATGCCTCAGAGAGAGAATTTCCAGGATTTTGACACAGCGACAGTGAATGTACAGTGATACATTTCCAAGTCAGGATTGTGTGTGGCTCGGAGGGGAACTTGCAGGTGGTGGTTCTCCCAAGCATCTGCTGCCCCTGTCCTTCTAGTTGGTAAAGTTTGCTGGTTTGAAAGTTGCTGTCAAAGGAATCTTGGTGAATTGTTACTGCAATCTATCGTACAGGTGGGTCCACTGCTGCCACTGAGTGTCAGAGCTGGATGGGGAGTGAATGTTTAAGATGATGGTTGGGGTCCTGATCAAGTGGATTGCTTTGTCATGAGAGTGTCAAGCTTTTTAAGAATTGTTGGAGCTGCACTTATCCAGGCAAATGGAGAATATACCATCGCACTCCTGAATTGCACCTTATGGATAGTTTGGCAAACAGGAAGTGAGTTACTCACTGCAGAATTCCTAACCTCTTTTAGATACAGCCTTTATACACCTGATCCAGTTCAGTTTCTGGTCGAGGTGAGCATTTCGCTTGTGAGAAGGTGCAATATTTAGTCGATAACCAAATAACACCCATTTCAGCATCAGTGACTGTTCACACAGGAGTTCAGTGAACATGATTGAGGGCATAAAATAAATGACAAGCACATATCTGAGAAGCAAATAAAGAAGAGATTGGAGCTCTTTATTGGGCACTGTTCCACAGCTCCTGGAGCATTATCGCATTGGATAACTCAGCATTAAAAGTGATAGTTTGATAGAGTGGAAAAAAAAAGAGTTTAACTCATCAATTGGCTCCATGTGCATCTTATCAAGATACATAGAAACTGGCCAATTCTTTCCATTGTAGTCTGCATTTCTGCAACTTTGCCTTATGTGTAGCTAAGTTATGTTTCACACAAAGAATATTCTTATCCTGATTGTTCTACAGGTAAACTGGTTGGGGTGTTTTCTTGAAATGGGATAAATAGGAGATTTATTCAGTGTGCACATAGTTTATGATCTGACTGTCAGAGAACACATCTAATGATGCAGGAGCCGAATATGTGATAAACTAACAACATGGGAGAGGAACAAAAGGACGTTTTGCATTTGTGTACTTCCTTGTATGACAACCAACTAGTCAGAAATATTGTAGTAGTGTAGGAAATGTGGTAGCCACTTCATGCATAGCAAGATCCCAGAAATGGCAATAGAATGATGATCAAATAAACATTTTTTTCTGGTTTTGGTTGAGGGCTAGATATTG